TAATTCACCTACGGCTAAATTTGTAATTTTTTTTTTCTTTTTCAGGTTCAAGTCAAAAAATGAAGACCAGTGAATTTGCTAAGGAAGCTGAAAATGGGCGGAGATGAAAGAGTGAGAGGTTGACTCTACAGCTCATCATTTTTACTCCTGCGCTGCTTTCTCCTCACATTCTCAATCAAAACCAGATTAGTTGTAATTTATAATAAATTGTAATGATTTTCAACCTTTAAAAACTTAATCGAAACCCAGGCCGTCATATGTTGTATCATTTCCACTGCAAAGTTATGTTTTCTTGCTTGATCGAAATTAACTTTTCTTTCCTTTTTTTTTTTGTTTATTTATTCCACTTGTGAAACCAGTACTGCGTCACTTAAAGTACTATTAATAAAAAGACAGAATTATAAATAAAATACAGGTTTAGAAAATATAATTTATAATTGGATTGTTATTGCAATTAGATACAATGTAACGGTAATTAGATAAGATGTACAGATAATTTTATTTAACAAACCAAACAGGCAACATCCAATGAATCTTTTAGAATAACTTTCATTTTATATTGTTAATAAATATATTGAATTGTAACTCTTTTCCTTGCATTTCATTCATGTTTGGTGTTCTAAAAGGTGTATTGCAGGGATGGGCATACAAATAGGACGAAGGACCAAGAATATTTTTATTTAACACAGAGGGTTGTACCAAATTTTTTCTTTTAGAACTAGAGGTACCTACATGGTGTACCGCAAGCATTTATTTTTCCCCTGTTAATTGTTACATCATAAATTCAATAAATAACAATAAAATAGCGTAGAGGAGAGGAGTACAATATGTACTACAGCAACATAAACTACCACCTCCCTGCATAAAAACACCATCCCACATACTGTACTGTCACAAGTATGTTTAACAGTGAACACAGGCATAAAGGGCCTAATATAATTTTATTTTTAAAATAATATATTGGATACACTTGATTATCATTCCTAGCGAGTTTTATCTGCCGACTGTATTACGATAACCACAGCGAGGTGCGCAACTCTAAACTAAACGGAAAAAGCATTCGCAACAAACGTCCATGTTAGGTCGCCTGTAAGCCCCGGAGCCTTCTAGGAGTAGGGCCTACTAGGTAATATATAGGGCTAGGCTACCTGGTCGTGACTGGCAGGCGTACACGTTTACGTTCAGCGTCTTTGTACAGTATCTAGGCCCGAATCCATGTCAAACTGTAGTTTGCTGTTTAACTAGTATCTTAAAATAGAATATAGACCGTTCGCCATCGAGCATTTTGCAAAATATTAAACAATCGTCGCGATGTAGGCCTAGTGCACATTTAATTGTTTCTGTCTAACTTAGGTGGTGTAATTTAACTGTTCCCTGGAAATCATGGTATGACACGACGTCGATCATAACGAGAACACAATAGCGAGCATGCGCAAAGCAATTGTAATTAGTTGCAAATTGTTATCAGTTGATTATGATAAGAACGGCGGTACCGCGGGTTATAATCTTTGATGTTCGGTTTCCATGTAATTTCACTCTTCCCTGTTTGAATTAATAATAACTCTACTAATTTGGGGAATATGATTAGAGTCGAATATGTGAACCACAAGGGAGCTGAATTGTACAAACCAATGTCCTGAAATACAAGTGATTTTCAATCATTGCAAAGTAGGCCGAAAGAAGTAACTTTTACCTTAGCGGGATTCATTCAAATCTGCCTGTAGGTTATCTTTTAGATAATCCTCTGCTAAATTCAAGATTCAATCCTTAAATTAATGTATCATGTGCTGTTAAATTCGGGTAAACTTCTCAAAATATTTGTCCAGTTTAAGACTGCAAGGCGCCATTTTCCTCTGATTGTCTTACAAGGGAGAAATGGGGGAGCCCTGGCGTATTCGTGAGGAAAAAAATATGGGAAAATATTATTGCTCTCAAATGAAATTTTTTTGCTCAATGGAAAGTTAAACAGTAATGTTTGAAAGGGCGGGTTCATGTATTGTCATGAGTATTATTATTTTATTTTCAGATCAAGCACGAAGGACTTTAAGAGCTGTTCAATCAGGATGAGGAGATCCGCATACAGGTTGTGCCGGTAGAGGATACCGAGGAAGCATTTGCAGCCTTGTCAAGAATCGCTAGACCAGAACTACAGCCCGTGCTCAACTAATTTGAGGACGTTTATATAGGTCGACCTCAGAGGAACGCGGGATGAGGTCGTCAGGCAGCGAGGTTCCCTCCTCATAATATGTGGAATATGCACAATGGAACACTCCGTGGCGAATTCAGCACCAACAATCACCTGGAGGGCTGGCATCGTCGGTTTCAGATTGGGGTCAGTGCCGACCACCCCTCGTTCTGGCGTTCTTGACATGCCTTAAGCAAGAGCAAGCAGTCAATGAGGGTGACAATCGGGCAGGCACAAGTTGGAATGGAGCCTCCAACACCAAGGCGGGTCTATCAGGATATCAACCGCCGACTGGTGAGACTCGTCACCAATTACCATGGGAGAGACATTGTAGAATTTATGAGGGACGTGTCCCATAATCTTCATTAAAAACCAGTCACCTTTGTTGGTTCATGGACGTACAGCCATGTCCATGGTTTTGTTACAGATTTTTTTTCATTAGTATACAGGTGAAATGTGTTAACATGCCGTACCGTACTTCCCTTTTGAATCGCATTAAATTCTCTGGAGGTTTTGTTGGTTTTACATTAAGAGATTTTTTTGTATGTAAATTGTTAAATAAAAAAAAAATGATGGTTGATGGTTTTTCTCCTTTTTATCATTCAATTAATGTTTTTCAGGACAGCAGTTTCTGGTTGGTGTTTAATTATTTTTATACCTTTTCACTTTCGTGTTTATAATGATGATGTTTACCTCTGAAATTTACTGTGGGGTGTCAGAACTGTAATGTCCTGGTATCAAGTTATGATATCAAAGACTGTTGATTAAGTATGTTATATTGAGACCTGAATAAAAGACGATGTGGACCGTTTGCCGTGCATCTATGAAGTGTTTTATTCAATAGTATCATCTTGATCATTATATCTTACATAGGTGGCGCTATATACATAATACATCACAAGAACTACCATGTTTTTTTTATGAATGTCTTTGTGTTTAGATTCAACCAATTTTCCCTTTGGACTGTGACATTACAAAGTTTATTACAAATTTTGTTAGCATAATTTTTGTTGTTGCTAACACTTTCGAAACTATCATAAATAAAAGGATCGATAACGGACATCCCTGCTTTAATCCTCGATGAATTTACAGTTATGTTATTTGTTATGTTATGATTATGTCATTACGCATTTTTATATTAATTCAGTATTTCATTCTTCCTTCTTATTTTTCTTCTTATATATACTGTATTATATATTTATTACACAAGCCCTGCTTCTCAGTAGATCGCTCCATTTTTACAGTTTACAGCAAATAAGTCTATACATTCCTTCTTAATTGAAATGATGATTTGCAAAATGCATTAAGTATTGCCACTGAGTTCTGTGATTATTTGTCATAATTTTTGTAATATTGATTGTTCTGTTACAAGTGAAAATAAAACTAAAAAACTGAACACTATGTAATATGCCGTTAAAGTTACCCACTTTTAAGGCGGAAAATTGTTGGTTATTGGCAACTTAATTAACATGGAGTGTGATAGAAAATGTAAATAGTTTAATTTCCTTGTTATACGTAGATTTATCTTCGAAACATTTTTAATTTCATTACTTTTTTTATTTAAAGTATGGTGACAATAGAGATTTTCACCACGTTGATACTAGTCAAGCGTAAATACAACAAATCAACCATTTCAAACAGTTAAAGTAGGCACAATCCTTTGCTTCGAGAATTCATGTAAAGTCAAACTTCTATAAGGTCACAGGGCCCGTAATTTTATGGGCGAATTATTCGGGGTGGGGTTATTGCCCTCGGGTGAGGTTAATTTTGGGGATAATTTTCCGGGGGTGGGGGATGATTTTCCGTCCGGGGGGCCTAATTACCCGGGGGCGGGGTGATTTTCCAGGGGATAATTTTCCGGACACGGGATTTAAATATTAGAAACGGCAAGTGAATTCTCAAGAATATGTAAACTATCATTCAACCACGAAAAATCAAACATTATAATAGCTGGATAATCAAAAGAAGGTGTTGGCTCTCACGTTTAAAAAAACATACTAAAAAGAAATGGTCAGGAGGCCTTTTATAATTGTGAACCAGCTAAAGCCTGGTCGAAAACGTTTAGAATTAACCACAGAAATAACGGAAACAAAGAGTGGCTTACCAGAGCCCAACAAAAACCTACAATCAAAAATATAATATGTATAAACGAGCCCCTGAATTTGAACCATATATTTTAGATAAATCAGATGTTCATGGAATCAACTTGATATTTAAAATACGCTCTAACTGCCTTGAAGCGAGAAAAGAATCTTGGACAACTAACAACAACGGATTATGTAAATTGTATAAAGAAAATAAAAAAGAATCAGAAAACCATGTTTTATTTGATTGTAAAGTACTTGATAAAATTAGAGTTAAATTACTTAAATAAATTCAATATAAATTGTATGATAATGATTTAAATATACATAAGACTGTAAATAAATGTATAAAGACATTGTGTAATAAAATGCCTCTGCAGGACTTGATCCTGTCAAGGCGAGTGTCATAAGAATTACATTTTAACCACGGAGGCTTCATGGTTGAACAGATTCAAATACCTCCAGATACACTCCATTGCACAATAAGTACTGTTAGAAACAAATAGTTGTGAATAATATAAATCAAGATAGCCGTTAAAACTGTTAAATTACATATAAATAATCAAAAACCCCATTCAGACTAGCTTCGCATTGCGATCGGTTGTATCAATTGCGACACCCAATCGCACCAAATCGCAAATCAAACTCGTTTTTGAAAGCTCACCAATAGTAGTCGATAAGTAATGGAGTTCGCAATTGTTACCCGTTGCGATAGGGTGCTACAATCTTTATTACTCCCGATTAATACGGAATCCGATGGCAACCGATTCCACAGGCACTGATTGACTGAGGTCAAATAAAACAGGACGACCTATATCGTTGCTAGTGATGTGAAGTTTCAAAGTAAAAAGGTGTCTGAATTCTGTCCACTTAATTGGGGTGTCCCCTAAATAGGGGTTGACCTGTACCACTATTCAGGAGACACTGACCAAAAATGTGAAATTTTTCCTTTCATTATCCCCTTTTGGCATGGTTTCGTACATTTTTTTAACCATATTTATAGAGTGTGACCCTTTCAGCGTATCCTTCAGGTCGGCTAATATTCAGGGGCCCTCTTTAAATAAATGAAATAATGTGATGCTTTTATCAGCGGAGTCTCTTTACGAGGCTTATAGAGTGGAGTTGTTTTTGTCGTGATTAAGATCCTGTCGTGGCAGGAATTGAACCCAGGACCTTAGGATCAGAGAAAACCACTTTCAACTCCACTCCAATGATGATGACTTAGATTCAATGATGACATTCTAGATGTTTAAAAAAAAAACCGCATTATAGATTCAATGATGACGTACATAGATTCTTTGTAATTATAATTTAATTGGCCTAAGAACGAGTTACAGTTGAATTAATATTTGTTTATAACAATAATTTGCAATGCAAAAACAATGAATTGAAATTTTATTAAGACAAGTGTTGTACATATTCTCGATATTTTTCCTGATTCGTGTGCATTATGCTAAGTACAGTATTCTTTTTTATGAAATTGAGATTTTATTGATATTTCTATTGAATGTACAAAATAGAATAGTGTGAACAGAATAGCAATCTAGAATCAAGATGCAGGATGTACCGTATATTATATACACTAAACAAGAAATCCACATAATGGTTAATGGTCAAAATTAAATTGTATTTATACGACACCCTATCGGATCTGTGATATACAGAAGTGCATAAATCGCACTTACGTTGTGTTTTGTGTTGGTCTAGTAGAGCAGAACTCCCTATTCTGTGGGGGATCGTCCGATCCCCCGATTCCTCCCCCACCCTTGTTACGGGCCTAAATGTTAGGTTTTTTGCTCAAAATGTTTAAAAATATTAATTTTGAATGATTATATATTTGTTTTAGGACTACTGTAGTTGTTTTCATACAATTTAAATTGTCCTCATAGTAGGAGTTGAAATTCATAATTCATAAATAATTCATATTATTTTCATTTCTCTCAAAAAATTAAACGTAAAGGGTCTGGAAGGCAATGGTCTAGTAGGCAGGAAATGTATTAATTTGACCATTTAGCCAACTCAAAAAAGTGTCCCCGTCTTCTTAATTGTTATGTCCCTTATTAGAGATTTGTCGTAGTGTTTAAAGATATATTTCATCTCATTTAACGGAAAAGTGTCTTCTGAATATTGGTGTCTCAATCAAGTAAGAAATCAAGTAATAAAATTAGGTATACTTACCCTTTTCTGTTTGTTTAATTGTCTGAATTCTTTTCTTTTTTCCCTCATTAATTTGATAGTTTGGCACTCCGTCATTGGCATGTTTCCCACTCCCTTCATTTTATATGCAGTTAATGCTTCTTCCCAGGCTTCATCATGAGTATCCGGTTCATCCTCAGGATCATGATAAGTTTCATATTTCTACCAAACAGTGGTAATATGAATGATAAAAAATGAATTATTCCTTTGCTTGTAAATTTTGATATAAAGAAAATTACTCATATAATAATGATGATGATAATGATAGTAATGATGATAATAATGATGATAAAGATGATGATAATGATAATTTATAATGATAATGAAGGTAATAATTGTATAATACAATAATAATGTCACCAATTCACGCTTAAATATACTATTAAAGCAATGGCTCATTATGATTACTAAACAATGTCTGAAATGTTAAGATTATGAGATGACTGACTTTATATAAAAACAACAGTTATTTTAAAAATAATTCTCACTCTAGAAGTCATTATTTCTTCAAGAATTGCTTCAGTATGCGGGTATTTTGACATTATAAAAAAAATAATAATAAAATAAAGGCTCATTCGGTTTCTACCTTTCACTATGCCATCGGAACTGGATATGATTGCATATTATGTAAGGATGTACAAAAATAAATAAAACTGATACAACAATAGGCCTACTAGAGATCCTTCCTTGTAGCAGGTAACAGTGAATTATCATTGGTGGTGAATAAATTATGACATGGTTTTGAAACACAAGTTTATCAGGTTAAAAATTGATATCACAAGAACAAGTATAAAAAATATGATATATTTACCTCCTCAAATTTCTTGGTGTACGCTTCAAGTGCGGATTGATAGGCATTACCCTTTAAACCCTTTAATGTAATGTGTAAGAATATGCATAAATAAAATCAAAATATTAAAATCTACCATAATTGTTTTTTTTTTTTTTTTTAATTATTTTTTTTAATATCAGGATTAAACCTCATTACTGTAGAAGCGGTTTGGCGCAGCGGGAACAGTTTGGTTTCGCAACCTCGAGGTCGGGGCAAGACACTTATCTGCATTGCACAGGAGTATAAATGGGTACATGGTGTTGTTGCCTGCTCCTGCGCTGATTACCAGCAGCAACACTTAGCATGGGGGACCCAGTGACCAGGGAAAGGAACTGCGCTTTATAACCGCAAGAAAGAGGCGCATTATAAATGCCCGTACCAGTACAGTACCAGTACTATGGTCTATATGGTCAAGATACATATTTAGTATCAGCAAACTTTTTAACGTTTGCTGTTTATTCATTGTTCCTGCTTTGGCAATTTCAATTATGTAAAGCAACTTTTATCATGATTTATTATGAAAAGTGTGATGTATAAATGTGTTAAATATATATATATATATATATATATATATATGTATATATAAATAAAATATTGTTTTGTAATGATTTTCTTTAATCATCTTTTATCCCTATTTCCTATATATTTGTTTTGTATTTGTTTTTGTTTGTACTGGGGTTTTCTGTTTACCATTTTATTCACGTTTCGTACTTGGATCTTTTTCATACTTTGTCCAAGCGAAGACCATTTTACATAATTTAAATATGTATCACAGGTAATTGAAACTATAGGTTAAGGAATGTATGTTTTCCAAAGCTTATTTCATGCTAGTTACAGGTAAGTTAAACAAAAAATACATTAAAAACATACAATTTTTTTTTTATCAACCAAGAAACACAATGTAATTAACACCACGGGAACACCACCGATCTCTACTATTATGTCTAGATTGTTCATTGGCCATTCAATTGTACAGTAAAAACCAAAGCTATTAACGCCAAATTCTCACTTACTTCTTCAATTGTTGATTTGTAATGCGGGAACTCCTTATTAATGATGTCTTCCAATTCTGCTTTGTTGTCCTTAAACGAATTGCCATAATCTTTCCCAGATGTTACGAAATATTGCAAGGCTACATTCTTATGTTCTTTGAACTCTTTATCTAACTGGCTTGGTTCCATTGATGTTAATGCCTAAATCATAGATTATTATTATTATTTAAAAAAACCCGCATTATATTAACAAAAAAAAATAACGATTTGTGATATGGTTAAAATACTTCATTCGATTTTGAATATGTCTAATGGTGGGCACTTTAACGAACCAATTTTAATTTACAGCAATTTGCATTTCTGACAGTTGGCCTAAGCACGTATACCAGCAATAAATATTAAATACAATGAAAATACCAAACAGCAGTTGGTAAATTAGATATACAGTACTGTACCTAGATCTATTTTTTTTAAATATCTGCCATGATGTATTAAAGTGTGATGCTACACAAGTATTTTTTTGTTTGAATTTGGCTTCATTGCAACCTAACACAATTTATTTTCGTTTGCATTAAAAATGTATTGTCTGCTAAAATCTAGAAAATTTTAAATAGTAAGAATAATCTGAGATTTATGCAAGGTAAGCGGTTCAGCTTAAGATTTGGGTAGAGTTGTTCAAACATGATTCCTAATGCCTAAATTTTTAAGGTACATATTCAGATTTTGGTTTTTGTCCATTTTGATATAGGAATAATGATTAATTGAATTATTTTTTCCCTAAAAATATGTTAAGATTAACATTATAACTATAACAAATTAATTTATTTCTATGTAATCTTGTAAAAGTATAGATCCATAGAAATTAAAAGAAAATATGTTGGGTTTGTTTTCATTATTCGTTCTAATTCAGTGACCTAATTAACTATTAGATTAAAAAACCGACATTCCGTTAACAAAATAATATATTTTTTAAATGACTAAAAAAATAGAAGTAGTAAAATAATTTTACTTTCCTCACAAAGCAAGTTTTATTAACTCTTAGTAGTATTTTTAGCTCACTAATCTTGATAGGTCATTAATTATAACATATTAGTATGTCATTCTGTTACCAAACTGGTAACGGAATGACAGAGTAATGAAATCACATATTATTTTCACTGTAATCCTCATGTTTGATGATATACTGCAAAATGTAATATATCCTAATGACAGGTTATTATGGTTACTTGTTTAATCATCATCACTCTGGGTAAAGCATAATGTACCTTGTATTATTAACATAATCATTATTAATCAAACCAACACATTTGATGTTAGCTTGCGCAAACGTTTGTTGTGTTAACAATATGTCTTCTTTATGCTGATATTTAAATTTTCAGTCTAATTAGATGTTTAATTACTGCTTTTTACTTAATGCATGTTTCATTGTTTATCTGTACTAGAGGATGTGTGTTTTTCATTAAAAACTTATGGCCATTTATTTTTGCACATACTATATAGCGAGAAACTTTGGTCATTCCGTTACCAAATAAATTTCCCCTATATAATTCACAGATTTTTATTTATATCTAACCATTGGGCAAAAACCCAGTTTTATGTTAATGTCATTCAATTACCGACCTCATTAGTATGCGTATTTTATAAATAAGAAGTATTTATAAAAACAATCAAAGTGCAAATTAAATGTAGTAAAGAACTTTTCAATTTGAGTAAACGTGGACGGCTTTCACGTCCGCGTTAGTGGAAAATCCGAGCAGTCGACTTGTACTTGTCCACTGGTTATTTGAACGTTTCGATTTAAGTGAACGTCCATGTTGACACGTCAGTGAACTTATGACCTTGTGATTTGGGGTTTTCCCGTGTTCGCGAGCGCTATTCGAATACAGTGGCCGTGGTTTCTTACTCAACACTCAGGTACTGTAGTCTACGCAGCTCAACATGCCAAATCTTCATCGGTTTCGCGAATCCCTTAATGGTATATCCATGGGGTATTCAGGGCAGGGAGTTGTAAAAACATAAATCTCCCTGTTGAGCGTGCACCTCTCATTCTTTGTTCAATATAGGATTTTTTTTTTTAACAGATCCACCTCTCCTTATTTTTTCAATATCAGATTTTTTTTTGTAACAGAATCACTGAAAAATGATTTCCTTTTTCCTGGATACGCCCGGCCTGACTGAAGGCTGGCGGCCTCGCCTAGCCTAGCCCAGGCTTGCTTCCTTGGCCTAGCTAATAGGCTGATTAATTAATTACCTAATTATCCACTGAATTTGATCCACAATAATGGATAATTCTATAGTTTGCAAATACGACATAACTTAACCGAAATGCTATTTGCTTACATCCCCAGTACACGGTATCTTCATAGTGGACAAAAAGTCCGATATTGAGGCACGAAGAAACTCTAGAGGGCGCGCTATATTTAAAACCCACTTCCAAACACGTCACCCGCTTTGAATATTCAATGTTTTAATCATCCAGTAATACTAAAAACTGGAAGATATCACTGAATATTCATGACCTACCCCTAATTTGGTCAAGGTTAATGTACCCCTCTTTTCTGGCGATAGTGCAGCTGGTGTTCCGCATTGTAGGGGGCCTATCGCTATACAACATGCCCAGGAATTGATCGTTGAGGACGTTGCGTGGGCATTGTCGGGTCATTTTTGGGCCTAGCATAATATGTGCATACAACGAATAGGCATTTATTAAATCTTGGCCTGTTTAACCCTAGGCCCTAGACGCAGGGTTCCCGGAACGCTGCCCTCAACGGCGTGTGCGAAGCACAAACCAAACTCAAAAGTGGAACGTAAAATTTGGATATGGTTTTGTAGTCAGATTTGCGAGAAAAACTTCAACTACCCGTATTTCTCGACTGAGACGCCAGTGGGAGCTATAATTTGTATGGCGAGGAGATGGTGCTACCCTTAATTGGAATGTCGTCCACAAACCTTGTAGTTATTAATATTTTTGTTATAATAGAAAATATATTTTTTTGGTGACGTCACATTCCCGATATACTGAACATGACGTCAAAAGATTACGTCACCTTTTCCTGGCAAGGCAAACTTTCCCGGCGTGCTCTTTTCATGGATATCATAAACGGCACTGTTTCCACCTTGGCCTACAGGAGAACCATTGTTGGGCGACAAGCCGCATTGTTTCCATTGAAAAACAAGGTAGGCATACGTCTGCAACTGATTTATTCTTATTTCATTTTTTTTTTTTTTTCATTTATTTCTTTCCAAATTGCACTTTCTGTGGCATGTAATTGCACTGTCTACTTAGGCCTATGCTAGTCTTAATTAACTAGTAATAAATACCCCTGCCGTCCCCCGCTGCACAGTACTGTACATCAGTAGGCTGGCAGAGCTTGATCTTGATCTAACCAATTATGCTTAACGACCCCCCCCCCAACAGTACTGTACAGAACAGACATTTGCTAGCCAACAGAACTTGATATTTATTGCACCCTCTTTCCAAAGTGGAGGTCTGTAATATTTCATGTGGTTCTGATATTTTCTGGTTTGTAGTATGCTACGTAAATTACTTCTAAAAATTCGTTAGTTTCATTCCACAACACGCACATTGTTTGTACATTCTTTCATTACATTAATAATGATCTAACCGCAACAATTACGATTCATATCTTAGGACAGTTATTACAACCATAACAGCCAACAGAAATAATAATGCGTAGTGAACACATAAAATAAACTATCAAGGACTCTGTTGTTTCATGGTTTGTGTACACCACTCATTTTAAAATTTCTTTATTCTCTTTCTGTTGTTCTTTCTTCACTATCTGTGTATTGTTGTAACAGCAATTTTTTTTTGCCACTTCATCCCGGACATGTATATTTCATGTGGTTCTGATATTTTCTGGTTTGCTACTATGCTAATTAAATTACTTCTCACACATTGTTTTTACATTCTTTCATTACATTAATAATGTTCTAACTGCAAAAATTATGATTCATTTCTTAAGACAGTAATTACAATCACGTATTTCATGATTACCACTAAACCTCAAAATACATTTACAATTGTATATTTCAATTAAATTTCACTGCGAGCTTGTACAAATTTGAATTGATTTCAATGTTCATGTTTAAGAAGCTTCGACATTATTCTACGAAAATTCTTGTGTCCGTTTTACGCTTATTAAATTGATATGTCTAATTTCCTCATTTAATAATTAATTCTATGTGACTTGTAAATAAACCAATTCACACATGAATTGTTGGTGCAGGCTTTCGAAATGTTTCATACAGTGATTAAACTAATGCAAATACTACCGATTGGCCATGTTTTTACCACACATTGACATCACATTCCATTTTAAATTTCCCCTCAGTCGGTGTTCTTTCCCAGAAACAGTTAACTACTGCTTCATAGTACAGTCCACATTGCAAAGCTGTTACAGTCTCCATCACTTCCTCATATTTTGCTATCTCTCGTTATCATACGGTTATCATACTAACAAATACTTATATTCAAATAGAACATATTCGTTCCAACATATTTACATCGACATGACACTTTTTCCTATTTCACTCAATCAAAAAAACTGCAATAAACATTCTTCGACAAATTTCACTACACTTTCTTCTATATCTACAGACGATGGTTTCCCTTGCAAACTCAATTCACTTCATCACAATTCTTTTTCCACAAAAAACATTCCATTTTCCTCACTTTACAACCCTCATGCTGACCTTAGTACACTGCGACACTGTTCCTGATATTGCGACATTGTCATATTACTGTGTCATTCTATAAAGGCATAATGTATATCATAGTACTAAGTAATCATAGCATTATTTTTATACACATACTGTAGGTACTTCCACATGACACTTCTTGCACTTTACTCGAAATAACTATTACCATTGTTACCAGAAGAAGTATTAGTACAGCTTACAGTACATTGCATACCACACCTTTTACAAATTTCATTTTGTAATTCACTATATTTCCACATCATCTAGTTTCAAATACACCCTAACCATTAGCAATGGTGATTTCTTTAAATTCCTAAACCTAATATCACCTATAATGACTTGTGGTTACAGACCTCCCATACTTTCAAATATTATTCCTAATCATATTTATTCTATTCACTTCTTTATTCATTTACATACTGGATCTACTACTATTAGGTGAAACCTTCACTTATTGTACATATTTC